TTCACATATTTCACGTAACTCATGACTATTAAATTAAGTATTTCTATTGGATACACAAAGGGGGACTTGTTAAGAGTAATCTATATCGGGTAATCGTTATTTGTTATTATATTTTTCAAGTGATTTATACAAATATAATATCTAAATTAATTCTTCAAAAGACTAATCTCACACATGATCTGACTGATGTGATATTCATATCTAGAGTATCCATTTTAACATGATGGTATACATTCCAAAGTCTTAATATCGAATATATAATTGATATATTGATTATCATCAAATTAATATAAATTAATTTTTACAGATTAATTAAAAAATGTAGACTTCTTCGATTATAATACGAATATATCAATTATAATGATTTATTATTATCAAAAATATTAAGTTTTACTTTAAATAATTTTGATAATGTAATAAACAACAAAATATAATATAATGAAAGATACTCGATATACTTATATGTTTTTCTAGAGATATATTTGTTACAAAGCTAAATTTATTAGTTGAATGCTGTCTATTTTTATTTTAATATACAGCAACATTATATTACCTTTATTTATAATGCTGTCAAGATTTTTATTTATTAAGGTCGTTTTATGATGGTCATTTTATTTCCTTAGTTATAAATATATGCATTAATTTTTCTCTAATATTTTGAACGATTACCCATATCAATATAGAATCCAATAAATAAATATATCGCTTGTTGTCCGAGTAACAATTTTTTTTCTCGATGCCTCAGCAACAGTCTCGGTAAGCATTATTTTTTTGGAAGCTACAATTATGTCACATTTATTTGTCCACACGCATTTTAGTTTATATAAAATAAATTTTCGATTCAGCAGTTACACGCAGATATATAAGATTCATGCACGGTGATTATATGCATAGATCGTAGCTAATGGCAAGGATTTTATTCAAAGTCTAAGTATAATTGCTGAATTCATAACAGTGTACACAGAATGAAAACTCATGTTTTTTCAAATTTTTACAAACAGATAATTACATGTTTGACAAATTACTCAATTTGTAGACTTTTATTCAAAACCATACTCTTCATTATTGCACATACATAAATCTATTTGGCTAAAAAAAGTTGTAGAAAGTATTAGATATGTATAAAATAATCAAGATGGCTATCTGAATTCTACTATTGTGAATTCAGTATACATAACTTACAACTTTGATAAATTCCCGTAAGAAATCGTCCCACGTACTCTCAAAGTTCTACATGGTTCGGAATTACTATTTTTTCAACACAGTGATTCCTTTAGCTTTTTTTTGTTTTATGAACATAATATCCACAATATGAAATTGTCAGTTAACACAAGTGCAGTTAGTGAAAGTATTTGGGTCGAAGAATAATATAAAAGTTCGATATTCAGCATCACACTGCACAGTGTTGCCTCACCTTTAATCAGTCAAGCTCTTGCGCGGCGTGCGATGTTGAAGCTGTATTTCGTTGCTCGTCATCCGAATCGTCATCCTCCAGACCATTGAAGAAAGATTGCAATAACGAACCGAATAATCCTTGATTACGTGGACGCGGAGGTGGGATATTGAAAAAAAGTTGGCCTATTTTATCTAAGTACTGTCGATAACATGGATCTCTGTTTAAAGATATCTGGTACTGTTCACAGAGAACCGCGAACACAGGATACGCTAGTTTACCACTGTAAAATAACAAATTGGAAGAAAATGAAGGCTGAACTTATATAATTAGATATGTATCTCTCATATAAAATATATCGTACCTGTCGATGATTTTGAGTAGGAAAAACAAAAAATTTAATAAAGGAAGAAGATATGGCGGACCGCTATTTATTTTTGGATGCCTCGAAGTGTAAGAATTGAAGGCCTCTTGTGCCGTTGCTTTGTTTTGTAAACAAAGATATCTAAAATGTAATCGATGATAATTGCATGTATGTATATATTATCTTAAATTCAAGACTCCATTATATATTGTTATATCCGTTTATTTTTACTATAATATATATTTTTAAGATTTCCAACATTAAGGATCGTCAGAAGTGACAGAGCAACAAGATTGCGCTACGCTTAAGCTGATTCTATAATGAATCGATAGTCGGTAGTCCTAAGTCTTATTGGTGAATCGATAAAGTGGGCTAACAGTCAACTTGTATTACTAACAATAAAGACTATCGATTTTCTTAAGACTTTCCAAATTCAACTTTATTTCTTCTTATTAGTCAGCTCAATAACTCACTATACAATTAACAACTTATACAATAAATGGTAAAAAAAATCATAATCAACTATTTAGATTAAATAATTTTTCTTCAATGGACTGGTTAAAGCTTAAGATTTTCAACTATCGACTCATAAAATTAGCTTAAGAGTAGCTAAATCTTTTTTTTAACTGATCCAAATAACAACTTTCCTATTGGCTATTTCGATCCTGCTATTTTTGTCCTGATAGTCTATTGTCCAATATATAAGTAAATATTAATAAGTTTAGTAAATAAGATAATAAATAAATAAGCTTAGTAATTCTTTAATAAGATATAATTATTAATCAAATATAGTTGTTTGATCTTTGTATTATTTTTGCAATAATTTTCCTTATTGTAATATTTGAAAGCAAAATTGTAGAATCTGTTTTAGCAATTTTTGTAAGAAATAAGCTAAAACAAGTTATGGCAATAGAACTTGACTTGGACATAAGAACCATTAACTTACTGTAAGACTGCTTGAGCTATGAAAAGATCTATTTCATTCATGTATCCACGTTGTTCGTGAAGTTCGACTAACATCGCAGCACATCCAGAACCATCTCTACTATATATAAAGTGCTGCCTTGCCAATATATAATTCTTTTCTGATGAAAAATAAATTCTTTATGTACAGTATGCCAAAAATAAAGTAAAATTCACAGTAAAATTCATCATAAGATTACCTCTCCAAAAAATCTGAGCTATCTTTTGGTGCAAATCTGGATGGCCAGTTTTGTAATCGGTACCCTTTATACTCCACTTGAGTGCCGATTGCACAAACACCTCCCTTTCTGGAGACGTAGGACTCATCAAACTAAACAGGCTCATGATCTTCTCGAAGAAGCCTTGCGCAGGTACCGTTCCAGATTGTGTCAAAACATTGACAAATAGAATTCCTAAGTCGGCTCCACTTGCATGCTGCAAGAAACATACAAGTCACAATGTGTTGTAAAGCTTAAACAAAATCGATCCTCGCTTTCCTCGTAACTATATCCAGCTATATCCGCGCATCTTTCAATTATTAATTACGATTCGCTTGGAGACAAGCGCTCAATCACGTCGACAAAATTATGAAAATTATTTGAAGGGAAACCGTGAAAATTCTTCGACACTCACGGGGGCGAGAAAAATGAACTCAACGCGTACCTGTTCGTGCTGTAATAGAAGCATCGATCCGCTATAGAGCAATTCCAAGAGCTCCGAGTATTTTCTCTGACCGAGGTATCTGTAAGCGGAGGAGGTTAGAAATCAGCAGAATTTTTGAAGGACGCGGAGGAACAACTCGACGGTATGAGACAGCTGATCCGATCGACTCTCACCTGAAATATAAAGTTCGGTACATCTGATGGGCCTCATAATAGTTCTCCGAGTTTATCGAGGCCTCCAATTTTGCCAGAACCCGTTGAACACCGTGACTATACCGCGAGGCCATATTTATACTATTTGGGAACTTCGCGGTTCGCAGCCGCGTAGGCGCGCCGTTGGCATCAGTGCACGTTTTTTCCCGTTTCTCCCACGTGCTGATTCAAATTCGAAATACCCACGCGTTTATTATCGTTGTCACCGAGCACAAGTTTATTACGTTTATACGATTTATTCTGATTTATTCCGAAGTTACAACATTCCATATTATAACTATTAACTACTGACGTTAGATGTCGTGTAAACGTAGTTTATGGCCACGTTTACACGGCTCGATTTACGCTGAAGTTACACAACATCGAAGTGAGAAAACTGGCCAATCACAGTTCCACTCTTTAGAGGAATAATTATGGCCTAGTTTCCACCGAGGGTTTAATCCAGATCAATGTAAGAACCAACCAACTACAGTCGAACATTTCCCTGTCGTTCGACTATAACAGGGGAATGCTCGACTGTAATTGGTTGGTTCTTACATTCTGATCTGAATTAAACCCTCAATGGAAACTAAGCCATAATTATTCCTCTAAAAAGTGGAACTAATAACAGGCAAAAGGCCTCTCTCAGGTTTCTCTCCGGCATCATGCATCGCGTCGTCACGAGTTAACCAATGAAAACATCCCATGTGTACAAATACATAACCTCTTTTTTTTTCTTTTTCATGACGTGGACGCATTCAGTAGAAACGCACCCATAGCAATTACATTCCTCTCCGAGAAAGATTTGATACTGTAGCATATGTTATATATATGTTACGTATACGCTGAGGAACAAAAATGAGGTTTCTTTTTGGAGTAGATAGATATAGATAAGTGTTATCCGTGAATATTGTGATAGGTGAGATGTTTTATCTACACCTATCGCGCTTATCTACACCTAACTACCTCAAGAAAAGGTGCTTAAAAAATTGGAACTCTCTTAGATCACTCTTAACAAAGGCGGTAAAGCGTCGGCACCGCCATATGCTGCGACGCGACGCGCCGCGCCGCGCCGCGGCGCGGCGTGCCGTAATATATCAATTGCAAAAAGTAATATTGATAAATGCGCAAAGTGGCGTCGCGTAAGCGCAGCCGGGCCATTCGTGTATACACACACACACGTACGCTCGCGCCCACGCATACATGCACACCGTGCATGCATAGGGTGTACTTTCCATTTAATGACAAACATCATTCTATCTTTCTTGACACGCAGAGAGTAACAAGGATAGAAAGACACTCGTGTCGACTTGCGTCACCAAATGGAAAGCACTCATACTACTGTTTACTGTCTACACGTTAACTTCGGCGTGACACACACACGCATACGCATATAGGCCGAAAAGCGCGTAGAGGTGTAGAGCGCGGTGCGCCCCTGGCGGCGGACCGTGCAAGTGACCCTCGCGGAAATAATTATCGCGATTTATGTTATTTGCAAATGTGATCCGGGGGTTTAATTAATTAGACGATGCCGAGTGGCGGCGACTGAGACGGCGACGGACGGGCTCCTGGGGACTACCCGGTTACGCCGTGAGTGGAGTAGAGCAGCGGCGGCCGCGGCACGGGGTGAGTGCACGTTCGAGAATAATGTACGTTCCGTGCGTTCACGGCGGGTCGAGCCCCCCTGCGCGTGTCGAAAAGGGGGGCGGTGGCTGAGGCTGAGGTGGCTCGCCCGCTCGCTCGATCGCACGCGGCCGGCCACTTTTTTTATCGGTTTCGCCGACCAGCTTCGGCGATAATAATGGCCGATGCCGAGGACACCGCGAACGCGCTCGGTGTCGCTCGGGACATCCGACGACGGGCGAGCTGACGGTGCCGACGGACGCGACTCATCCGAGGCACCGTCCGCTCTCGTCTCGTCTCGTCTCGTCTCTGTCTCTCGTTTCTCGTCGCCGGCTATTGTCGCGCGTTTGATTATGATGGAGCTGAACGGACGATTCCGTGCAATGAGACGTGATCGACACGCGACGGAAATTGTCACATTCTCGATCACGCTTGTTGACGTTCTCGACCGGTCTGAGCTCGACGACTCTTCTTGGAGCCGCGATAACGGATGAACGAAATTATCATGACGCGTATCGATCGTTGACACTACTGGCGTTATTTATTTGTGTTTTTTTTTCGTTTCTAGTATGTATGTTGTATAAACAATCGACAGACAGTCCTGTGACCTATGTAGTATCTAGTAGAGTATTCAATGGGTGCTTTTCAACAAGAAATATAGATAACACAATATAACATGGTAAATCATTTCATCTTTAATATTGGCAAACAACAAGAATTGATGATTCACTGTGTTACATTAAACTCTATTTTTTTTCTTCAGCTGAATTGCACGTTTCGTCTTTCATTTTTTTTTCACATTAGAGAAAAACAGGAATGCGCAAGAAGTTCAACTATAAGTAAAAAGAAGAACAGGCCTATTGTATAATCTAGTCTCTTGCAGAAAGCATCCATAAAATAGCTGCATTCAGCAGAACACACAAGAGTTTTGCAACCGTTTTATGATTGTCTGCAGAGATAAGACTATTCCTCTAAATCTAAAAGTATAATCCAATTAGCACGAAGAAAACTTCTCAACAGTTGCAAAATAAGTTCTGCTGAACGCAGCCAATGATTGTGTATCAGATAGGTGTAGAGATTTTTTGTTCACAATTTCATTATGGGCGAGTTTTTTAATTTATCGATTGATTACATGCGCAAATGCAACTTTTACTGAAGAAAATTATATTCGCGCACAGTGCAATGGATCAATCGATGAATTAAAAAACTCGCCCTGTGTCGGGAAATTCATGTATATAATTATATGCATGTAGAATGGACCTGGCAGAAACTATGAAGAACATTGTTGCCAAAGGTATGCAAACCGAAATGGGTCCACCGGGTGGAGGATCGGGTTACTCCGCGACACCGAGCAGCGCTGGTTATGTCACAGAGAAGATGTACATGTTGTTACAAGCGTATTTGCAAAATAAAGGCTGGAATCCTAGTATCGAGCTACTGCAATGCTTCTCGGAATTTAAGGATGCCTCTATGATGCCTAGCGCCGCCTATTTACAGTAAGGATAATGGTTTTATTATCAAACACAACTTATTTGTCTTGCAAAATATTTACTGCATTTGATTCGTTTACAGGATGATGGCATCTAGAGTTGCACTAGATTCACAGGGAAGACTAGTCCTTAGAGAGAATGGCAAAATAATACTACCTTATGAACACTTTGCCAATGCCGTAATGTTGAAACACATGAATGGACCACACGGCTTACACTTGGGCTTAGAGGGTACAGTCAGAGCAGTTATGGAATCTTACACCATTGGAAGAGAGTGCTTCGGGATGGAGAAAGAGTTTATCATAGAAGTCGTGCAAAACTGTCCCAATCCTGCTTGTCGTTACTACAAAAATCAGTTGGAGCTCACTCAGAAGATGGGTCACATGGCACCAACTTATATTCAAGAGAATGAAGCGACTGCATCTCTTCTACGTACTGGTTTTCCACATAGCACAGATTTCCAGGTAGTGAGCCAACTTTTTATATATCTCCTATATTTGTTATTACGTACACAAGTTTCTTTTATATACATTTTATATATATATATA